AACAGCCTCTCTCCAAGGCAGGATGCCCCAGCATGGGAGCAGGGCTGGCGATGGTGGCTCTCGGAGCGGATCCCGGCTGCCGTCCAACCTCTCATCTACACGCCCGGAGCCTCGGACTCCCTCTTTTTCACACACACTGAGGCCCTGGGCCTCTCCCCAGCTGTCACTCCCCAACTCCCGCTTGGGCTTGGTCTGGAGCCCCAAGACCCTGTGCGTGCTGGGCCACCTTCCCTGTCAGGCCAGCCACGGGCTCAGACCACCGAGCAGACCACCAAGTAGGCTGCGGGAGCGCCAGGGAGGGCGGCGGGAGTGAGGCTTCAGGCGGGGAGCACCCCAACCCCCTCTCCATTTACACAGGCAAAAGGGCCAGCTTCCGCCAAGGCCAGCCTGTTTGACCCCTGTGCCGGGCAGCGGAAGCGACTCACCGTGAAGTGCTCCTGGGATTTGTAGTTTTCGTCCAGGTAGACTCGAGCCCTGTTATATTCTTTCATCGCATCACTCGACAATAGTTCTCTGGAAGGAAGAAAGTAAGTCCCTGAGGAAAAGCCACACAGACGCCTTGTACCTCATGAGATGCCCACAAGGTGTAAAGAGGGGCCCCAGCACATGGGCACATCACTGTGAGACCGTCCACCCATGACAGGCAGAGGGCAGAGAATGGAGCTCCCGCAGGCTCTGGTCTCCACGCGGGCAGCCTGTGAGATGCCGGGGTCTGAGGCCTCCCAGGGCTGGAGACATGGAGAACACACCCAAGGTCTCATGCCAGGGAAGCACAACTCCAAGCTCTGGGGGGTCTCCTGATAGCTCACGCTTGGTCTTAAGAGAGCAACTGGACCCCCAATAGCCAACAGCACACACAGGTTGGGGCACATGCACCCCAGGGCCAAGGCAGTTCTGTCCCCCTCTGCTCCTCCCAGAAGTGGCAGTGAGGATGGTGGTTGAGTTGCCACGGCCTTGCAACCACACAGGAGGGAAAGGACCTCTGGACACGCCATTGTCCCTGACCGCTCATCCTACTGGTCACATTTTATCATCAGGAAAGCCTTAAGGAGACAAGCTCGCCACCATCTCCGCAAAGCATGGCTGCAGAGGAGGCCACCGCACACCCCTGGAGCCCGTGAACGACAAGACGAGGCCCCACCTGTCCGGCCCCTCCACGGAGACAGTACATCATCCCCCAACCCACACCTCCACGGAGACAGCACATCATCCCCCAACCCACACCTCCACGGAGACAGCACATCGTCCCCCAACCCACACCTCCACGGAGACAGCACATCATCCCCCAACCCACACCTCCACGGAGACAGCACATCATCCCCCAACCCACACGTGCTTATTCAAGACAGTGGGGAGACAGGAGACCAGCACCCCGTGATCCAGCCAGTCCACGTGTCAGGAAGAAGGGGGCTCCACGTGGAAGAAAATAAAACCACACCAGTAGAGAAGGGCAAGGCAAAGAACGCCTTGACAGACTCCCACTGATCCCCAGGCGGCTTAACTGTTGGCAAACACAACCGTCAACATGCTTTAAAGGAAGAAAACAGGGCTCAAACACTAAACAATGTAACATTCGCAATGTCTGGCATTGTATGGAAAATAAGTTGATATGAGAAGCAGCAACACCATGTGAATGTGTCCCGTCATCCTATGAAGAAGCAGTCAACAGAAACAGACCCGGAAGAGGCAAAAATGGAGTGAGCTGATAGGAAGAAGCAGTCAACAGAAACAGACCCAGAGGAGACAAAAATGACGAAATGAGCTGAAAGCAGCTGGGAACAGCCATTACAACTGTGACCAGAGAGCAAAAGGAACGCACAGACACAGGGAAAAGCGAGGACAGGGAAAGCACACGTGAGGCTTCTGGAAAGAGCTGACAAACACAACATCAGAAATGAAAGAACTGACTGCATGGACCAAAGAGAAGATCAAAACCTGCAACAGAAAAGAGCCCGGCAACTTAAAACTACAGCAACAGAAGCGATCCAAACTGAAGCACAGGGCAAATGAGCTGGAAACAATCAGGAGCGCTCTGGGGCCCTGTGGGGCAGAACCAGGCAATCTAACACAGGTAGCTGGAGCCTGAGAACGAAAGAGAAGGGAAGGAAAAGAAAAACAGCATTTAAAGAAATAATGGACAAACTTTCCCCAAATTTGATTAAAACGATAAACCCACAGACTGCAAAAGCTCAAACAGCCCCAAGCAAGATAAACATAAAGCACATCAAAGTAAAGTACAAGATAATCAGGTTGCTGCAAACCAGCTATAAAGACAAAACCTAGCAGTGGAGGAAAGGGCACATTATATACAAGAAAATTAAGAGAAAACAATGACGAGATTCTCACCAGCAACAATGCAATACAGAAGACAATGGGGCGATATCATTAAAGTAGTGAGAGGAAAAAAAAATTGACAAGCTAGAATTCTATTTACAACAAAACAGCTTTCAAAAATGAGGACAAAGACCTTTTTCAGATAAACAAAAGCTGAGAAAATTCATGAGCAGCTGACTTGTGCTAAAATAAATGTTAAAGAACGTTCTTCAGGCAGAGGGAGAAGGATGCCAGATAAAAACCAGAATCCACACAAAAGGGTGGAGGGCACTGAAACCAGCCAGGGAACTGGTCCAAATCAATGGCGTTTCTCTCACGTCTTAACCTTTTAAAAAGAAAATTGTTTAGAGCAAAAATCACAATGCTGTACATCAGGCATAAAGTGCGGAGGAAGGAAACACACACGGCACGGCGGGGCACAAGGCCGTGGGGCCACACTCTGCGGTGAAGCCCTCACACCGAACACGGCGACGTCATTCCCGTCCGGCTCATGGCATCCCCGCCTGCTGCGAGGGCAGCGTCCTCCGTGCTCAGGGTCCATCCTCGCTTTCTCTCCTCGGGAAGGTGCCCCGCTTCCCAACAGCGGCTGCCTTCCTTTTCCTGCCGACTCACTGAGTTCTTCATATATGGAGACACTGGTTTTTGTCAGGAAGGTGCACCGCGGATCTCTTTTCCCAAAATGGCTTAATTCTGACCTCATTTTGGTGCCTTTTCATAAGCAAATGCTTAGTTCAAACACGGCCACATTTTTCAACCTTCTATTCTGTAGGCTGCACTTCCTGTACATTTTAAAAGAAATCTCTCATCCCAAAACTATAAAGATTTTCTCCTATATTTTAGACTGAAATGTTTAATGTTGCCTTTTACATTTATGTAATTAATACAACTGAAATTCGTCTTATGTAGGGTGAGTGAGAAGAGGCTGCTTATGACATAAAGCAGGGATCCAATTTCATTTTTCCCAACACAGGACACCAACGATCCCGTGCCCCTGCCCATGTCCCCACCTGTCCTCCTCCAGGTGCAGCCGTGAGGGACTGGGCGGGGCCTCGACTCCACTCTCTGCTCTCTGGGCTGCGCACCTGCCTTGACCTGCTCTCCTTTCCGGGCCTGTGCCATGCCACCTGCCCCACCGCTTCTTCGGAATGATCCCTGGGGTCAAGCTGGGTGAGAATCCACTTTGTTTTCTTTCAGGATTCTTTTAGCTATTCTTGACCCTTTGCTCTTATATGGCAATTTTAGTATTAGTCTGTTGAGTGTTAGGAAAAATGCCACTAAGATTTTGATTAAAACTGCCTTAAACTGGCCAGGCATCGTGGCTCACACCTGTAATCCCAGTACTTTGGGAGGCTGAGGCAGGCAGATCACAAGGTCAGGAGATTGAGGCCATCCTGGCTAACATAGTGAAACTCCATCTCTACCAAAAACAAAAAAACAAAAAAATTAGCCGTGTGTGTTGGCGGGCAGCTGTAGTCCCAGCTAAGGCAGGAGAATGGTGTGAACCCGTGAGGCAGAGCTTGTAGTGAGCGGAGATCACGCCACTGCACTCCAGCCTGGGCGACAGAACGAGACTCCGTATTAAAAAAAAAAAAAAAAAAAAAAAAAAATGCCTTAAATTATAGATTATTTTGGGAAGTTGTGGCAGTTTTTTTTTAGCAGCTGAAACCATCACTTTGTTCTGCTCAAGGACCCTGTGCTGGGAGTTCAAGACAGAGGGCTTATGTCACTGCACGACAGCCGGCACCTGGACGGCGAGGACGCAGCGGCTGGGATTGCCTGAAGCCTCGCTCACACTCACGCTGGCACCAGGCCGGGAGGGCTCAACAGCTCTGCCCACAGATCCCAACTCCACGTGGCTATGTCGACCCACAGAGTGTGGCAGCAGTGAAGCTTTGCGATGTTGGGGGCTGGTCCCAGAAGCCCTCATGCTGCGAAGAAGCCAGGGCTTGCCCAGGGTCTGGAGGTGGAGACGAGCCCCCCAACACGGGAATGTGCCAAGGCCACACTGTAGGGGACACGGAGGACGGGCTGCATGGCTGCGGCCTCAGGAAAATACAGCAGCCACTATTAGCAACAGCCAACAGGAGGCCCCATGTCTGAACACGAGCCTGCCTGCCCCTACCTACTCCTGTCCACTCCTGGATGCCCCAGGTCCAGGCGCCCCCTCCTCCCTGACAGGACCCAGTTGGGCCGGCCCTATCGGAAGTTTCAGGGTGTGCACTTTCGGACCACATGCGGGGCACCTTCCTCCTAAACGATGGAGATTTTGCCTCCAAGAAAGATGGACGCTCCCAGCCGACCTCCCTGAGACAGACTCCGCAGTGGGATGTGAATCCCAGCCACCGCAGGCCCAGCCACAGACACGCACACACGGGGACGGCTCTGCTCGGTACCTGGGGCTCACGTGCCCTGGCCCGAGAGCACAGACCCTCGCCGTGTGGAGGCAGCAGGCTGTCACTCCGTGGCCTTCGGTCGCCGCCCCAAGGAGGCTTGCAGTCACATGTCTGGGCCACTCCTCTCTTTGGAAAACTGAGACTTAGCCAAGATGACCCCCAGGTGAGTCCTGAATGGTGAGGCTGGGGATCATAGTACCATCAAAAGACCCCCGCCGGCACCCCCCACCCCCGGAGAAGTGGACACACACCAGCACCGGCCCCGAGACTTACTTGACGAACTTGTCCACGTGGGACATGGAGGCCTCGTAGTTCTTCCCTCCAAACTCCTGACAGTGCAAGGCCATGAAGTGCGGCTTGTGTGTGTGCACGACCTGGAGGGAGAGAATCACACCGTCAGGGTGGTTGGAGCCGCCCGCAGAGCCACACGCCACACAGGGCACCGCCTCCTCCACCGCTCCCACGGCCTGGGAGCCACCAGGGTCTGGCAGAGACGGGGCCCCATGTCTGCGACCATGGGTTCTTCTGGACAGATTCTAGGAGTCACCTCGCCTTTGTGCTTCTAGTTATTTACATTTCCAGTACTTTTCAATTTCCCATTACTATAAATTCCATACAGAAGAGTCCAGATTTCTCAGAGCCCTCTTCAATCATCTGAAGGCCTTTTTTCCAGTTAAAACAAGTTACACGTTTACCGCAGAGCATCTGGGAGCCTCAAGATCAACTGGTCACAATCTCACCAGGAAGTCTGCCATTAGCAACACCCAGGCACAACCCCAGCAAGGGCGCACACGTGTGCATGTGTGTGCGGGAGCACGTACCAGCACGTGTGTGCCTGGGCATGTGTGCGTATACGTGTGCCTGTGTATGCGTGTGTGTTCATGTGTATAGGAGGCAGGCACTCCACCGCCTGTTCACAGCCTGGGAGGACGCCGACACACAGCAGCAACTCACGCAAGGTCACTTCCACTAAGTGGCAGAGCCGGGAACTGAGCCTGGTGTCATGGCCACCGGTCCCCTGCCCCGCCCGCACCACCAAGGCTCCCAGATCCCCGATATGTCTCTGAGGTCCCTAGCAAGGATTCTGACTCCCGTAATCACCACTGCGGCGTGCTGAATCTGTCCCAAACTTTCACAGCTAAAGAGCACGGCCGCAAACATCCTTAATATCCTTGTCAGTGCGGTCTCCTGTGTGACCTGGCGGCTTCCAAGAGGCTCCGAGAGGACACGCGGGCAGAGAATTCGGAGAGCGGCCTCAGTATCGACATGGCCCCCTCTCCTTGCAGGTCCCCGTCTACTTCCCACTGTCAGTCCAGCCACTGCTCCGCACCGCACACCTCGCCACTCACAGGAGTCCTGACAGCCGCAGGCCAGGACACGAACCGCCTCACCCGGCAGGAAACCCTGGGCGGGACACACGCGACGCAGCCGGGGAGCCACACGTCACTTGGGCAGGATGAGGCGTGAGGCACTGATGGACCCCGCTCTCCTGGAACACAGGACGCACAGAGCTTCCAAGGAGCAGGCCCCCCACAGGGTTCTCTGTCCGGTGCTGGGGTGGTGGTGCCCTGACAGCCACCAAGGGCCCAGCAGGACGGACTTCCTTAGAGGAGGGGAAAGGCGGGGAGAGAAGGGGCCGGTGCTGCCTGTGCTGGGCTTGGGAGCCTGGAGGTGCCACAACAACACAACACTCGCTGTGAGCCGGGCGGAGCCGCGGGCACGGCCCACTCCCAAGAGCCACGGGCACGGCCCACTCCCAAGAGCCACGGGCACGGCTCCCAAGAGCAGAGCCCAGTGGCCATGGTCCAGGCACAGCTGAGCAGGTGGACAGCCAGCAAGGGAAGACGGGCCCAGGCTGGGGAGACAGAAACGGCTCTGACC